ACAATTATCTCCTAAGTGCATTAAAGCTTAAATTATGGATTATTTCTTATGTAAGGTTGGCTTTGGCCAAAGCTATTTGCCAAAGGAGAGACTGATTGCCCTATTCTATTATTCCTCCCTCGACCTACCCAACCCCTCTTTCCATTGCTCTACGTTTTGAAAAGAAGTTTCTATCTGATTTGAAAAAATATTGTTCTTTTGTGTATTTATTTAACATTATCTTTTTCATAACACTTGTTATCATCAAACTATTTTGTAATATATGGAGTTGCATGTAAATCAACTTATACAAGATTGTTTTAATTTAATTAGCTATCTCAAGTTTAAGTTTTACACATTCAATATTCGAAAGAAGAAAATTTTGTTTTCCATAATTGTCTTGTCCATTTCAAGTAATATTATTGCTTCCTGTGGAAGATACTATGGTCCCTACCAAATAAATACGGAATATAAAAAATACATACTTATTTTTTTCTTAAAAAAAAATAGTATTATTACATTATATCTTGGGTTTAATGGTGATTGGTGATACACTAATAGTGGAAAATATTTTTATACGATTATTCAATCACAATTCATCTTAAATAATAAGTTTGTTAATTCTTATTATAATTATTTTGAAAGAAATCCTTATTAGTTGATTGTATAAAAATTGACAATATATGATGATTAAACTCTTATATCTTTAGGAGTATTTTTAGAAAATCCGGTATTGTAATTTTATTAACATTTTCATTCTTAATAGCGAGTTAGTACAAGCATATTGTTTTAATAGCGAGTTATTTTGCTCGATTCCCTTTTCTTCTTCTTTTTTACTCATAAAAATTGAAACAATAATCTTAAAAATGCTTTAAGATGAATATATTAGGAAAAATGAAATAATTAAGTTATAAAATATAAAAAAAACAACTAATAAATTGAATATGCAAATTATTATTTTTAATCAACAATAATAACTATATACTTTTACTTCTAAAATATACATGGTCACGTTTGAATAGCAACGAGGTGTAATCATTGGTGTTCTCTGGGAGAACAGTGATAAAGCCTCCATTGAAACCACCTTATGCATGTGCATGTGCATGAAAGAAATGTCATTCAAGGACAGAGACAGACATAAAAGTTAAAACTTCAAGTGGCGAAAAAGGTAGATCTACTAAACCAAAGTTTGATTAAAATGGAGTGCATATATATGATGAAGGTAACATTAATGAACTTACCAAGTACTTTGTGCATGGCAATGTTTTTAAGGAACTTTGCATCATTGCATGCCAAGTAGGAAACATTGATGATCAAATACATAGGGAGAAATATTGGTATTTTGCAACACTGCAAGATAGGTTAAAAGGAGTTTTCTAGCTTTAGAGGGAAATTGGAATGATGGACATTGGAAATGCTTCGTCATGCGAAGTGAAGTTCAAAACAGAGGTTGATCAAAATCAACGAGTTTGAGGTGATCCTTTGATTATTTTCGTATCACTATTTTTCTATTTGAACTTAGTCCACAACTTTTATCATGCATATAATAAACGAAAATACTTAAGATACTTGTCTAGATCAAATTCCTAAGCTTAGGACATATATATATATATGAAAGCTTGTTTTTAGCCTCAACATATTAGGAGTTGTCCTAATCAAAGTGAACAAACACATAAGAAGAATTCAGTTACTTAAAGAGTAAATTTACCTAAATTTATTTTCATTATTATTATTATTATTATTATTATTATTATTATTATTATTCTAGTTTTAATTTTCAATTTATTACCAATTATAGTTCCTAACAATTAACGAGAGAGAAAAAATTACTTAAGTGCTCTACGATCGAGGAACCATCTTTGTATTTCAAGTTTACCAACTTTCGAATAAGAAAAGCCTTCTATTATGCATTTTTAAACTCAAACAACTCGCTCAATTTCCTCAACAAGTTGAAAGCAATAGTCTCACTAGACACATGATGACAAATGCTCTAATTTATCAATTTCCTAACCATGCCAATAGTCTTCTTATTGGTCTTCTTCCATTTTTCTTCTTATTTATCTACTAGTTTGGTGCCTTTAGCCTCAATGGGATTATACAAGTCTCTACAAATAAAAAAATTTTCATTCCCGACATCCAAATAGAGTAATTGGTAGAATTAAATTTAATCATTGTACCATCAACATTGTCTTCATTCATTTTCAAAAAAGATACAACAACTCCCAATCAAATCTCTGGAGTTGTCGGAGAAAGATAATAAATAATAATAATTAAGCATAAACAAAAGTGGATCTCTTTTTTCCTTTTGCAAATAATAATAGGCTCCGAAAGCAACAAAAATAGTTTTAGGCATATAAGATGTACAAAATAGTAACTAAAAATCATGTGCCAAATTTTAATATAGGAAAACTCTCAACATGAGAAAAAAATCCACGAGACTAAACAAATACTAATATACCTTAATTTGTAAACCACAAGTCCTCCATAAGCCACCAAGAATTACTAAAAATAGCTCATTGTCGATAGATGGATAACAATACAAAAAAAAACCTAAATTGATATCTAAACCACCACTTATGATATAATGTTAGATTTATGATATAAAAAATTTAGTTTTAATTTTATATTAATGATAAAAATTTACAAAATGATATAATATTAATTTTAAGTATTGATAATTTAAAAATATTAAAATTCAATTTAAAACTAAAAGTTAAAAAATCAAAAAAGATGAGAAGTTGAGAAAAACTTTAAAAACTCTCATTAAAAAATAAGCTAAAAATATTTTAGTTGAAAAACAGTCTTCTACAAGTATTTTTGTTCAAAATAATTATTCTAATTTATATATATAGGTTGGATAATCTTTTTAAATTAAAAAAAATGATGGAAATAGACTATTTTAAAGATTAAATTATTGAATGTATGAGAGATGAGAATAGGTCAAGCTTTAAATGGAAAATTATTGCTTGACCTATTTAATGTTTGGTTTGTCCTGATCTATTTAATAAAAATTTTAAGTATAAACTTTTAAAATAAATTATTTATTAAAAATAAAAAATTAAGTTTAGACTTATAGAAAAGTCTGTTAGGCTTGATAAACCAACCTATTTATTCATATAATACAATAAAAAATTATATTTAAATATATTTTTAGTCCTTCAAATTTAGAATAAATTTGTTTTTGGTCTCTTAAACTTAAAACTACATTTTTTTGTCATGTAATTTTTAAAAATCTTGTTTTAGTCCTCAAAGTCACTAATAAAATATTTGAAAGTGATAAATTAATACAATTATACAATATCAATTTAATGTTATGTTTATTTTGTGCAACAATATTTGAGAGATTTTCTAGAAAAAAAATGAGTATACGGGTTAAAACAAGTTTTTTTTAAAAAAAAAATTATTAAGGCTAAAAAGATTAATTTGAAATTTGAGGAACTAAAATTAAAGTTACCTTAAATTTAAAGGACTAATAATATATTTAAGTAAAAAAAGTAATATACATATTACATTATTAATAATATAATTAAATAAATAATTTGTAATACAAGAAAACAAATTATTATTATTTTTGACATTTTCACTAACTTAATTAAATGTTTTACATTCACATTCTCTATTCATACAAAATCAAAAAATAGAAAATAAAAAATCTAACAATCATATTGGTGCATGCTCTTTTTATTTATCTTCATGGATGTTTATTTAGAATATTTTAAACAAAATATAAAAAATAATTTTTAAAAAAATTATATTATCTTTTTTCATTACAATTGTGTATGAGTTATCTTTCTTATGTTATTTTTTTATTTTAAATTCTAAATATTAATGATAATAGAGTAAATTATTTTTCATCACGAAAAATTAAAAAAGAGTCTCACACATATTTAAAATAGTTTTTTTACTTATTTAAAATTAAATTTATTAATTTATTTAAAATTATTAATAAAAAAATAGACTTTAAATAGATTAATAAATCAAATTAAACTTTTAAAAAAATTAGGTTAGATCTTTTAAACTTTAATTTTATAAAACTATTTAAAATATTATTTTTGTATTTTTTTTTAAATAAATTTCTAAATATTTTTTTGATTGGACCCCTGCCTATATGTTATTTTTAATTGTTTTTCAAAGAGTTTTAAAAGCTCTCTACAAATTGTGAGTTTTAAGCGGCCAAAAATTGACATTATAGAACCGATATTTTTAGTTTGTAGACTCGGTCTCAAAAATAGTTTAACCATTTATTTAAAAAAAATTAAAGGTTAAAAGAATTATTTATTAAATAGTATTTTAGTTTATACGATATACATATTAAATATTTATTATATATAACTAAAATTTATAATA